CTGCTCAATATTTTACTTTGTTTCAGTTTGATGATGATGATGATCAATAAGGCAATCCTTCTTTTTTAATAAAATTATCAACCATTATAATTAAGATAAAATGTGCCAAAAAGATTATATTATTATTTATCAGCATCATTACGCGGATAAAGATTTTAATCTTGGATTTTGTGCAGTTTGGTGATGATGATGCCAATGGTTGTTGTTGTTGTTGTTGTTGTCGTCGTTTTGTTAGTGTGTGTTTTTGTGTGCGTATGATTGTGAGTGATTTAATTTGATTTTTTTTTTTCTTTTTCTTTCTCTGGTTTAACATTTGCTGATTTAGCTTCTATTTTTGCAAAATTTCGAGAATTTTCATTTAATGCAATAATACATTCATTATTGTATTATTTTGCTACATAATCATCATCATCGTTGTCGTCGTCGTCGTCGATTCCAAAGAATATTCTTGTTTTTTATATTTTTTCCATTGAATTTTTCTCTCTTGGCTTGACAATGGTTGATTCGGAATCAGAAAATTAATAAGAATTATTATTATTATAATTATATGCACCAAAAAAAAACATTGGCAACATTCTGGATTCTGGACAGAATTTTTCAAACGAAAAAAAATGATTTTTTCCGGGACATGTTTTTCTTCTTAATGTGGTAGTAACCATTCATATATTTTCATAATTTCACGTGCCTTGATCTTGAAAATCCAATTTTTTTTTTTTTGCTCTGTCTGGTAAACATAAAACAATCCTGGATTATAGATAATTATTCGTTCAACACTTTTCCTGTGTATAAGAGAAAGCGAGAGATTTTTGTGGTTCTCGATTTTCTCGTTTTTTTTTCTTTTTCCATCATATGATATGTTGACTATGGATTTATATTTTTAGCATTTTAATCTGCAATCTGCTAGATGTTTTCATTTTCGCTCTTCACTGTTATTTTTTTTTTTTGTGCACGAATTAAATCGACTAATAATGATGATGATTATGATGACATTGATTCTATGGCCAAGTTCACTGTTCTATATCGTTGTCGTTAGTTAGTTATTGTTGTGTGTGTGTGTGGAAAAACCGAGAAAAATATGAAAATCCACAGTTTTTTTTCATCGGATAAATCTAAATTAAATTTATCGATCAATCGTTGTTGTTGTTGTTGTTGTCGAGGATGATGATGATTGTTTTGTTTTTTTTTTTTTTTTTTTTTTGCTTCAAAATCCAATTTCAACGGGTTTTTTCTCTTGTTCATATTGGGCCTTTCTTTTTTTTATTTTTCCATAATTAAATGTGTGTTTCTGGATCAACCCATGGAAAAAAAGGTTGCTATACTTAACTCTGATGGATGATCACCACGATGGTTTCAAATTCGCCATGTGTTCAGCGTGTAACGAGCGCAAAAAAAATTGGTGAAAAAAAAATCTACATAGAACGTTTTTATTCAAATCAAATTCATTCATTCATTCACCCATTTCATTTCATTCATTCTTTTTTTTGCAAAAATCTTGCTCTATCTCGCTGGTAGAGTTTTCGATCCATTCATTTGTTCATTCATTCATATGTTCCAGCAAACGGCTGCTCTAAAGGGGCTTAATTTTTTTTTTTTTTTCTTTGGATCTCTGGTTTCCACAATTTTTACGCATACGGTTGGTTTTTTTTTCTTTACGATGACCTTTGGCATTACTACTATTTTTTTCATGTATGAGGGCTTTTTCCTATGTTTGAATTCAATGAATGTCAAAAACGAAAACGATGAAAACCATTCAATGTATTTAGGCTATTTTGAACATGTCTGGCACTCGGAAGTTTACTTTTTTTTCTTGTAGTGCTGCAGCAAGTTGTTGCTTTCTTTTTCTTTACTCTATGAACTTTGCATTCAATTTTTTTTCTATTCGTTTTTCATTGTCAAACTCATGGTTCGTGTGCGTGTGTTTATGAAAAGAAAGAGAGAGAGAGAGAGAGAGAGAGAGAGAGAGAGAGAGAGAGAGAAAGACTTTACAAAGAAAAGAAACCTTGGACCTTATTTTTCTTATGCTTATCAAACAACAACAAAAGCATAAAACGTACGATAAACGATGTGTGGTGTGACTATGGTGATGTGAGGTGAATTTTGTTGATCAATGACGACAGCAGAAGCAGCAACAAGTAGCAGTCATCAGACCAAGGGTCGATCAATTATTTTTTCTTTTTTTTTAAGTCATAAGTACCAAGTAAGTTGTTACCTGGTCCAACAGCAACAACAACAACAACCACCACCACTAAGCGATCACCACCTGTACCTGAATATACATTCTATCACCAATCATCATCAGTATATCTGGTTATGATATCTATAGTGATAGAAATTGAAATAAAAGTCCATTGATTTGAAAAAAAATAAGGCAGAAGGGAAAAAATTGAAGTAGTTTTTTTTTTTTTTGCTCAAAAACATTGATTGAAACAGGACAGGTGTGTAGTTTAGCAAGCTTGGGACCAGAAAAAAAATTGAACTAAACACACAGGCACACACACACACATATGCTTAGTCTTGATATGTTTTTTTTGTTGTTGTTTCCTTTCCTTTTCTGATTTGGGTGGTGGGGAAAAAAGGAGAGGGGCGTATACCAGCTGTTACTGGTGGTGGTGGTGTCTGTCTCTAAATCATTTTTTTGGTTCAAACACTCATCACACCATCATGCTGGACAAGTGAAGCCAAGTTTTTCCAATTTTAATGGTAAAAAAAACACACACAGACACACAACCGACAAAGAAGTTTATGTGGTCCTTTTTGCTAGAAAAAAAAACAAACGATTTTTTCAGTCTGAATCTTTTTTCTTTCTTTCTTTGGTCAGGTTTTAACCTGGTAGTGGTGGTTCGTTCAAACGTTCATCATAAACACACACACGGACACAGTTTCCATTTATAGCAACTAATGATTGTTTTTTTTTTATTTTCAATTCTTCGATATGATCTGTGAATGTGTTTGGGTTAATTGTTGTTGTTGTTGTTGTTGTTGTTTTGTGACCACCACCACTATATTTTAGGGCCAAAGTTTTTTTTCACAATTCCAAACATTTACGCAAACTCCACAACAAGAGAGAGAGAAAGAAAAAAAAATAAAATTGTTCCAGACGACGATTTTGATGATTCAAAAGACTCTGTGTGTGTGTGTGTATGTGAGGAGTTGACGTAGACGTTGGTGTTTTTTCACCGAATTTGAAAACACACACAGAACCAAGAAAAAAAACCAATTTTATTCGACTTTTAGTTACTTGCTTGTTGCTTCTGAAGCGGTAAGATCCATTTTTTTCGTTGTTCTAAATGAAAAACATTGTGTTTACATTCTGTCTACCTGTGTGTGTGAGTGTGTTTCAAGATCCAAATTTTTTTTTTCGCTTTTTTCGCATTTCACATTATCATCATCATTGTCCATGATTTTACCCAAAAAAATCAACAACAACAGCAACGACGACGACGATGATGAACAAGAAGATTTCTTTTTTTTTCTTTATGGAATAAGCAAAAACTTGCAAAACTAGTTTTTTATTTTATTCTCTTTCTCTTTCAGTCTCTTTTGAATTGATTTCTTTTTTTTTTTTTTTATTTTCGCCTCATTCAAACTTTATACTACTACTGATTCATAATATATTAAATACACACACTCACTCACATTACAGGGTAAAAAAATATAGAAATTTTGTCGTTTTTCATCATCTTCATCAACAATATTCGTTGCCACCAGAACCAGAACTATGAACCACCACCACCACCACCAACACCACTAACATCGAAAACAGGCATCATAAAGATTTTGACGGAGTAAAGCTTACTAGTTTCATCATCATCATCATCATCAAGTGAATATTCGTCAGAAACAAACGAAAAAAATTGTTATAAAACACATAAAAAACGACCGAAGAAGAAGTTCAGGATCAACAAGAACATCATTGACGAAGACGACGATTGAAATCGGTATGAAATTACAGAAAAAAAATCAACGAATCAACGATAATCAAAATTGAATAAACTACTCGAACCAAACAACAATGAAGTTAAGCATCATTTTCATCATCATGGTGCATTGCTAAATGCTGCTACGAATTTAGAAGAAATTTTCTTGATGAAAAAGAATCCTCTCATCATTAGTTTCATATCATCATCATACAAAAATACGAATACACACACACCACCACCACTATCTTATTCGTTAGTTTTTTTTACGATAAATTGTTGTAGCATCCATCGGATCAAAAAGCTCCTGTGTGTGTATGGCTGGATAACTTAAAAAAAAAATTTTAGTTTGATGATTTCATCGTAGTCATCGTGGTCGTTGTCGTCGTCGTCAAGATCAACATCTATTATCCTATTCCTTCTCGTCATTAAATACGATCGTTTTTTTTTTGTTTCAAAATAATTTTTTTTTTAAAGATCTCACATTGGTGGTGGTAGTATTGCAACTCGATAATGTGATCACACACATACACTGCAATGATCATCAACGACATCGACAATTGTCCGTTTGTTTGTTTGTCTCTGTGTGTGTGTGTGTCTATGGTGATTTTACGTTGAAATAAAAAGAAAAAAGTAAATTATATTATGATGAACCACATGCATGTTTATATGCATGTCTCGCAAATTTTGCAGAAAAAAAAGAAAAATTTCGAAATCCATTCCATCATCATCATCATCATCATCATCATCAAATCAAACGACGTCGATAGGCAACAAATTAAAACAAAAAAAAGCCTGATATATCGAAATCCGTTTGCGAGTAGATTTTAGTGGTAAAAAAAAATATCATAGTTTTTATCGTATGGTGTGCAAGTCTACCACCAAATCTCTAGTTTATTAGTTAGTTAATTTGGCTTTAAACATAACTACGTTTTTTTTTTATATTTTTATTTCTTTTGTTTGTTTGTTTCTAAATCTACGTTTATAAATGTAACAACATTTGCTCAGAAAACAAAACAACCTTGCTATATATATAAATTGTGATGTATTATATATGCAAAGGTGTTTTTTGTTTTTTGTTTTTTTTTCTCTGTGACTTTTTTTTCTGTTTCGTTGTTATTAATAATTTATTCTTTTCTTTTCTTTTGTTTACTCCTGATATGTGAATAGATCACCGATAAGAATCATTGATAATTGGCCACCAACCAAAACAACAACGAGCAATAAAAATTTTTCCCGCTTTTTCATAATCAATCAATTTTTATCGAATATTGGCAATTCAAGAATCCATTCCATACACACAAACACATGCACAGAATTTAATTCGTGTATTTATTTATGTTGTGATTTTTTTTTCGTTTTGTTTGTTTATTTATTTGTTTACGTCGAAAAAATTTAATTTAATTTTTTTTCATCAGTGTTTGTGTGTGTGTGTGTGTTGATTTTGTGGATGTGTACCAGTGTACCAGTGTATGGGTTTTGTTTTTTGTTTTATTTTTGATTCGTTTTCGTCATCATTTTTTTTGTAACGACAACACATCAGATGATTTTGTTTACTTCAATTCTATGAACGTTTTGAACGTCAAAATTTAATTCATTGAATGTTGTTGCCTGGCCAATAATAATTATAAATCATCATTCTTCATTCAATTCTCAATCGTTTCTCATCTCTTTGTCATTTACACGTTTTTTTTCCTGTGAACGTGTATATTTCGCTACACCAGCTATTCTTCTGATTGTTTTTTTCATTTTACGTTACAAAAATTTCATTCATCACGAAATCGACAATCATGACAAGTGGAGCGCCAGCTTGGTCTGGAAGTTCCTTAAAGTCATATGCTGAATCTGAAGGCGGTGATTCACATGATGATGATTCCAGTAAAGATGGTTCACTAAAAGGTAGCGGTTCCATTGATGGCCTAAATGGTGCCAATAATGGTGGCAATTCAGATGCCGAAGGTGTTTGGTCACCGGATATTGAACAAAGTTTTCAAGAAGCATTAGCAATCTATCCACCATGTGGCCGACGTAAAATTATACTTTCCGATGAAGGAAAGATGTATGGTAAGTGTGTCTCTGTGTGTGTGTGTGTGTGTGGTTTATTTGTTTTGTACCATTTCATTTGATAACCTTGATCAATCATTATTATTATTAGTATCGATGATGATGATGATGTCCAATCAATCAATCGATATACTAATAATAATGATTGAATGAAATCATTTCTTTATTTGAAGGTTAGCCATACAAAGTTGATTAGAAAGGCAGAATTTGTTTTTTTTTTTTTTTTTTGATATTTAAACATGAAATTATAGCATCATAATGGTCGCTTGTTTTTGTTGTTGTTGTCGTTGTCGTCATTATTGATCAATTTCTATGATTGAATAGAAATCAAAATTTTCAATTCAAAATGAAAAACTTAAAAAGACCTGCTATTTTGAATGACAATGATAATCATTATCATAATAAACGTTTCTATATATGCAAATCGATAATTGGTTTTTATTTTTTATTTGTGCAAGTCATGGCCCATATTTGTTTTTATCCCTTTTTTTGTAATAAGGATCGATTATTCTTCCATTGTTTTATGGGCTGGTAATTTTTTTTGTTATATTCAATCAATTTTGATTATCATTTTCGTTAGAAAATGGAAATTATACATTTTCCAATCCATTGTTTTTTTTATGTTTGCTATAGCGTGTTGAAATTTTGTAAATTTCAATTCAAAATATCGTAATCTTTTAATATATTCGTTCAAGAATCAGAATTTAGAACATTGAAAAGTAATATTTATTGGACAATTTGAAGAAGAATAATTGTCCCGTAATAATAATAATTTCTTATAAGATGTATTTGTATTTTGTATTTTCGATACAAATGTAACATGTATTTGTGTCCATGTACAATCATTTGTGTGTGTCTGTGTGTTGGTGGACAAAACATGACATTTCCATTATTATGATTATTGTTGTTGTTTTTTCATGTCAACATCATCGCCAACTATATACATATATTGAATTAAGCTTAACACGACAAATTCCTTTTGTTGTTGTTTTTTTTTCTCTTTTTTTAGCAAAAAACTGATACAAACCAGGGCCCGGGGATTTTTTTGATGACCAGGTTTTTTTCAGTGGATAATGGTATTTAAAGAATTTTTGAAAAAGATGAAAATGAGATAGACAAATCGAGCAAATCGTTTTGGCTGTTTTTTCTCATTTTCAGCAACTACATTGATTTCATAATTGATTCATAAATTGAACAAGCAATCATTGTTGTAACAATGTAATTAATTGGACAAAGAATCCACTCAATCGTTTGTTTTTTTCTTGTTGCCAAAAAAAACGAAAAGTGAAGTTGAAAAGAAAGAATAATTGAACAAAGAATTTAGGAATTTCATAACAAAAATATACAACCAATCCAGATCCACCAGTATTTTAGCTTGGTGAATTTCGTTTCCACCGTCTATTTTTATTTGATTGTATCGATTCTTGATTCTCTTGTGTGTGTGAATGAATAATTTTTTTCCATTTATTACTTAATTAATTAATTAATCAATCTATCCAAAATTCTGATGTAAATTTCTCTCTCACTCACTCTCTCTGTGTGTCTTTTGTCATAATAATAATAAATTATAATAATTTGGTGTCTGGAGAGAGATATCTAATCCAAGAATTTAGCCAGTCTAGCCTACCAGAATATTCTTTGTGTTTTACAAAAGGAATTTGCCTTTCTTGATTCTGCAGTTGTTTTGGATCGATGAATTTTTTCTTTTTTTCTTTCATCCATTCACCACACACATATTTATAAATAAACTGTATCGTCAATTCAAAAAAAAAAAAAAAAAAATTCCAAACAAAACATTCCAATGTCTGTGTTGGTTGTGTTGGTGGTGGTGATGGTGAAAATAACCTGTATGTGTTAAAATAGCTTTGATTCATGAGCTTTGAATTTTTTTATTTTGATTTTGTATATGGGGGATAGAAAGAGGATGTGTAAAAATCTATTCCAAATATTCTCCCATGGGGGATTTTTATTGTTGATGGTGGTGGTTTGTTAATGTGTAAATAGGGCAAAAAAAAAATCAAGACATCTTTTCATGATGTAACTCGATCGTTATTCGGTCGGCCGCATCATTTCACTAATAATCATTGTGAATAATAATAACGACCACGACGACAACAACAACAACAACAACAACGGCTAATAAGCTTTTTGATTAATGTACTTTTGATCAGACTAATTGTCTGTGTGTCAGAATGGCGGTGGTATATGGATTCATATGTTGAAGAACAAAAAAAAAAAATTCGTTAAAATCGTTTGATAGAATCGGGAAAAAAATTTTCGCCATCAATAAAGAAAAATTATTCATTTATTCATTCATTTAGAAATCGACAACAAAAAAAAAATATGTTTGCTTCTTTGAATGAACTTTTTTTTCGTGTGTGCATAATTTGAATAATGTAAAATTCGTCATCAACAAGCGGCAACATTCATTCATTCATTCATTCATTCAATTTGAATTGTAATTTTGATTTTGATTTATATTTATTCATTCGTTCGTTCGTTCGTTCATTCAATTTATTCAATAAATTTTAATGAAAACAGAATATAATTTCATTTTGCATTTTCTTTTGAGATTGTTGACGAAAAAAAAAAAAATATGAAACGAAATTGACGTTAGAATGTGGATGTGAATAATAAATTGAATTAATTAAACCATTTCTTTTTCCACCGAACCGTTGTGTTCTCGATGATGATGATTCCAGATCAATAATTTCATGAAACTATGAAATCCAAAAAAAAAAAAATTATTCTGCGATTCTGATCTTACGTTCGTTTAGGACGTTTTTTTTTGTTTCGTTTCATTTACAGTCAGTAATTGAGACTTTTTCAATGATGAAAACAACAAAATTCCATTATCTTTGTCTGTGTTGTTGATGAATGAACAAATTTACATATTCCATATACAAATCTTTTTATTAGCTCGAACACAATCGCAAATTTGATTATTTATTTAAAAAACATTCGCAAATTTCTTTAATTTTCTTATTAGAGAAAATTATATCATTTTCACACACGAACATTCATGAATGAATGAATGCATATGCATGGCCGATTTTGAATCCTTTTGAATCGATAATGATTGTGAATATTGTAATGATGATGATGAAATGTCTATATATTGTCTGATTGTGGCAGAATATCAATTTTTTTTCTCTCATTTATATCAACAAGATTAGTTTCTAATTAATTCATTTTCGTCATTTGCAATACAAATTTTTTTTCCTGTTTTGTTTTTGGATTTTAAATCCTTTTGAATTGAATTTCATTTTGGTTAATGTTACATAAAGAGAAATTTGCATCTTTGTTTCCATTTTAATCACATTTCTTCGTTTGATCATATGGAAATTCAGTAAAAACCCATAATAACCAGGTTTGTGTGTGTGTGTGTGTGTGTATCCTATTTTCTTTCAAGCCTAGATGACTTCTATGGAATTTCTTTTTTGCCATTTTCTTAATAATTCTTTGTAACAAACAAGAATACAAAAGAAAAACGAAAACGAAAACAACGGCAACTTCAATTAATTTGGAACGCTTCTGTCATCATGATCATCACATACATAAACACATTTGGCATTTTTTTCGGGATATCATTCATTTCAACATTTCTTGGAACAAGAAATTTTCCGCTGTTGCAATCATTCATTCTTCAGGGAACAACATAATAACTGTGTTCTCTTTATTCATTCATTCATGATGATGAAATGTTCCAGAAAAAAAAGTTTCACTATGAAATTGTCATCATCGTCTTTATCGGTGGCTGGCATTGTAAGGAAAAAAAAACAAGAAACAATCCTGCGCATGCACACAAACAGAATCTAGTCTTATTCTAGCCAAATCAAATGAAATTATCATCATTATTGTATATTGCCATTGATAATGGTGATTATTTAATATATATGGAATGATGTAAAATGAGTGAAAATGAAGAATTCCAAACTCAAATACAACAACAAACAATAGTTTGAAGAATGAACTGATGAAAATGAAAGAATCTGATTCTCTTTGTGCTATAATCATCAGATATTCCGGTTTTTTTTAATATTAATTTTCCTTTTTTTTAGCATAATAACGTTCCTGTGATGCACCGAAATAAAGCTCATTTTTCTTTGTTTTGTTTGTTGTTAATTTATTTCCTATTTTCAATTGAAAAAAATACACGAATACACATGTTACAATCATTGAATTCATCATCGTCTTATCACCATCTTCATCATATATAATTACATCATAAGGTACAATGAACAAGCGAATGTGTCATATACACGCGTTTTTTTTTTTTTTTTTTTGATTGTTCCATTTGTGAGGAAACAAAAATGTTGTAGTTGTTTTCCTCGAATATTCATTGATGCTACTAAACACACACACACACACACACCGATACGTGTGTAAATTAAATTGATTTGTAAGTGAAAAAATTTTTCTTTTCTGTTTGCCATACAGAAATCATATTGTCATTATGTAACGATTGTGAAAATAGGAAAAACATTTCATAATCTGAAATGAATGACGATGATGATAATATGAAATTAATTAAAAAAAATGATGTTTATATGACAACAAAGTTTCTCCATCTCTTTCTCTCTCGCTTTGGATATCATTCTTCACTTCGGGGCATTCTTAGGAATTTCAATGGCGCGTGTTTTTTTTTCATTCTTTTTCTATATCAAAACTTGATGAAAAAGTTGTTTTTTATTTTCTGGATGCAAATGAAAAGAGAAAATGAAATGCATTTGAATTCTGTATGTGAATTCCTTATTGTTGTTGTTGATGATGATAATGAAACATCATTTTCAATAATAATAATAATAATAACGACAACAACAATTTTAACAATTCCATTTTTCTGTATTATAATGATCATGCCATGTGAATATTAGATTTTCATTCATATGAGAAAAAAAAATTCTTAATTGAAATTTTACACACGAGAACGAGATAGAAGAGAGAGAGAGAGTAAGAAATAAAAAATGGCGGAAATTGTTAAATGGAATCAACATTAT